AAGAAACAACAATTTTCTCCACGTGAACTCAGCTTAACTCGAGTAAAATAATTCGAGAAATCGAGGTGTAAAAAAAAGACTATGAACAAAAAGGAAGAAACAACAAGAAAATTGTTCCCCCAAGAACTAAAGCCGAGATGTTCAAATTCGAGGAGCGCGAATTGAGTGGCAGATTGCACGGAACGCCTACTATTTCGCGTTCAGCCGGCGATTAATTAAGGCAACATTCAAAGACCAGCTGTCGTTCGGCCGAAAATAGGTTGGGCGGCGTTGAAAGGACATCGCGCAATTTGCAACAAACGCGTTCGCGTTGGAACAATTTGTTCGTTTGATAGGGGAACGGGGCCCTGCGGCGTTCACGCCACACGGAAGCCAAACAAATTTCCGCGTCACGATTATTTATGTTACACACATTTTATTGTCCCGTTTATCGGCGTCCCTCCAATCGGATCCCCCCGACCACGTAGTAATTTTTTCGGATCCCGAAAATGCAAGTGTTCCCTCGTTTCTCGAACCTCGTTCCGCGTGTCGTTGGTGAAAAATAAATGCATGTACGCACCTGGAGGCGAGGATAGGTACGGAGAAAGGAAGAAAGAAGTTTTGTACGTTGATTGTACGTTGGATGAGCACGCGATAATTTTGAATTGCGTCGAGAGATGAAATTTGTTACGATACTGGAATTAGTAAGTTTATTGTGATTCTTAATATATTAAATGTAGAGAGAAAAAAAAGGGTTTTTTATTTTAGGTATGAAATTTTGTACGAGTATTGAATTGAATTTTCCTATTAATATATATACTTTCGATGTGTCTCGATTAAACTTGTGGGTAAATTTGCAATAAATTTTTTCGCATAGAATGAGAATCATTTATCAAATTTTACTTACATAAAGAATATTAAAATATATTTCGATTGCTGAAAGGAGAATATTTTACTTTCCTATTAACGAAATATGGTGATATTCTTTTGCAAAAAAAAAAAAAAAGGAAAAGAAAAATTGGACACCTGCATATAATATAATATTGAAAAAAAGGGGGGAGAGGAACGGAAAGGGAGAAAAAAAAAACGTACATTTGTATGGACTGGCGGGACTGAAAAAACAGTGGACCGTTCAATTGTGTTACAACCGATCGCGAACGTTGTTAAACTCGAATTAGTCGCGGATTCGATTTTTATCGGGCGCCACTGCGTCGAACGGTGGACGCTTCTTGATTCATCGATTCATCGCGATTGTCGAAGGATCGATGAAAAGACATTTTGTTTTTTTTTTTTTTTTTTTTTTTTTTTTTTTTTTTTTAAAAAAATTTTTTTTTTTTTTTTTTTTTTTTTTTTTAAAAAAATTTTTTTTTTTTTTTTTTTTTTTTTTTTTTTTTTTTTTGTTACATTGTGCGGTGGAATTGTAACGAGGCTGGATTAAAACTGTGAGACTGATCGAATGTTTTCACTCTTGTTCCAATTTTTTTTTTTTGATTCTTTTCAAACGAATTTTCGTTTCGTTGTTTCGTTGTTCAACGACGACGAATTTTTTTTCCATTTCTTTTTCTTGTCCGTTTCAGGATACGAATGGGTCGGTTGGAGAAACGACACGCCAAGCATGCTCGGTCGCCCCGTTGAAATTACCTTCGAGTTCGATTATTCGAGAAACTTCACTGCCATACACCTGCACATGAACAATTACTTCACCAAAGATGTGCAGGTACGTTGAATTTTCGAATTCACTGCTAAATCGTTCGACTATATTTTCATTCAACCGATAATAATAATTGTATCGTTCGATGTTTATCATTGCCTATCATAAAATCCAAATAATCTAACCAATTACGATATTTACGATAATCGTTCGATATATGCAGAGAAGACAGTAGAAAAATTATAGAGACAACGGAAGAAGAACTTTTCCATCCCAACTTCTTTACTCCTTCCATCGAATTTCTATAATCCTTTCAACGCACGCTCCATTTTTTTTTTTAGGTCTTCTCCTACGCAAAGGTTTATCTTGGCGCCGGTGGGAATCAGTTCAACGGGGAGCCTGTCCATTTCTCTTACATACCGGACCTTGTGTTGGAACAGGCGCGCGACGTTACCATAAAGCTTCACTCACGAGCTGGCCGTTTTCTTAAGCTTCAATTGTACTTTGCGGCACGATGGATCATGCTCAGCGAAGTAATCTTTGAATCGGGTAAGGCTAAACACGATAACCGAATTTATCCCAATAAAAATTTTATATTCCATAACGTTCCCCCACAAGATTGTTTCCTTGATCTTTTTCGAACGTGTGAAGTTCAATTTAATAATAAAAAAAAAAGAAACAATAACGTTCAAAGAAACAACAATGGTAAAATTAATAAAAAAAGTATACATTTTTTGTGAAAAGAAGCAGTCGAATATTTCATCGATATCGTTATACAACGAAATAACTGTTCCTTCCAACGATACAAATTACAACCATCGTTTATCCATCTTTTCTCTCCCACGTTATCTCGAAGAAAAAGTGTCTCATTCGCGTCACTCTTTCCCTGAGTTCGCGCGAGGGATGAAACGATAGGAGGGCGAAAATAGGAAAAAATATCTCGCCGGTGACGAAGATAAGACGAGAAAGGGATCGGTGGAATCGTGATAGCAGGGGATATCAGGAGCGAAATAAGTTCACACACAGGATTTCAAAGCTGCCACGCTTCTTCCACCGCATCCGGCGCGCTTTTCGAACCTGGTGTTCGCGATCACTTTGGATCAAGGAACGGATGAGCTCTGCGCGTGTGGATCGTTCGATTTCCAATTTCGGGTGACATCGTCCGTCACGTGGATGGTGATAGTGGATCGTTGGAAAAAGATGAGGGATAATCGGGCAGCCGCTGTCGACGATACGTCAGAACAGAACGTTCACTTGGATGGGACAATGGGTTCTCGAACGTGGCTCGTCCGGAGAAATCGTGATAGAAACCCTTATTCGTTATAAATCGAAGGTGTTTTCGAAGGTGACTGGTGGTCTCGTGTCGCGAGATTTTTCATTCGTTAAAAATTTTTCTTTTAACAGTCTGTGTTTTATGTATTTGAAGTACAGCAAAATTTTTAGTTTTTTTTTCATTAGATTTTAATTTTAAAACGAACAAAATAGTTTTCATCAAAAATTATTCTTAAATAGCAAGAGATATTGTTGAATTTAATTGTTGGAAATGATATTTTTTTAAATGTTAATTCGTTAATTATGCCAAAAAAATTGATTTATTTCAGTTATTATAAAAAAATTTATATAGAAATCATGAATCTCTATGTATAATTACTATCTCTAATTTATTAACAAAATTTTCAAAGAAAAGCATTTAACCCAACGCGTAAAAATCACTTGATGCTTTCTTTTGAACAGATTAATTAAAAAATATTTCCAAATATATTTATAACATTTCGTGTTGAAATTTCAAAATCGATTTTCTCGCTCGCGTTGCTCGACTCGAAGGCATCGGATGTCGAGGAAGTGGGTGGAAACATCCGTGGCACGTTGCGCGAATCGGAGCACGTGGCCGCGAAGCAGAAACGAAACTTGGCACAGACGCACATATTCGAAAACTTTGATTCCCTTGGTGAGCATCGAAACCGTCGTTAATCATTCCCTCGATCTTCTCTTCCACCCCTTCCCTTTCTCCAAATAACTTCGATTGCTCGCCATCGAAGCGATTCGAATTCCTCCTTCCTCCTTGTCCGCCTCGATTCGCGCCATTTTACTTTTTCCAAACGTGGCTCGAATACTTCCATCATATTTTTTGATTAAGAAACAGATTGAAGTAAAGATTATTATTTTGTAGAAAAAGAAGAACTCGTGTATAATGATGTGATTCGATAATTTATATTTTTGGTCAACTTTTATAATCGGATTGGAATTTAATTTAACTGATGAATTTTGAAGTTGAGAAGTTCTCAAGTTGAAAATAGATGGATAGATTTGTATTTTGAATAGAAGGATCTATTTTTTTCGAATTTCAATTAAAGAATAAAGATTCGAGTCCAATATGGCTAATGTATGAATTAATATTTTATTTTAAGAAATATTAATGATGTGAAAAATTAATTAACCAATTTAGATTAATCTCATTTTCATCTCGTATAAGAATATTTTTTAATCGCGATAATCTTGAAGAAATACCATCATGCTTATAAAATTTCACATTCCAATTTATTTTCAATCGCGATCAATAAACATTTTAATCGATAAAAATTTTAAAAAGATATTCTTTTCAAAATATCCTTATTTCTGATGAAACGAAACTCACGATTCCTTTGATGGGCGAAAATTTCATTAGTCTTCTATCCCTGATGCGCAGTAATCTCCGAATGGAACAACACCGACGATGAAGAGCCGAGGAACAAGAGCGCCATTGTATCGGCGACCGGCATCCCCTATCAGAATAACGAGGGTCCACTGCAGAGAGACGAAGTAAAGGCCACTTTTAATAAGGAGGAAAACAACGATAATGCTCGTAAGTCTACCACCAGAGTCGGTTTTCTCCTATTGTTGCATCGAAGGGCTCCTCTCGTAATTTTCCACGTGATTTCCACTCTTCTCTCTTCTCCCCCTTCCTCCCCGACTTTTCCACTTTTTTGCTCTTCCGAGTCTGCAAGCTTCGAAAATTGAATGCCGATCACGAACGACCTTTTTCTTTCCCTCGTCCGCTTTTTCTCCCTTTTATTTCTCTCGTTCCTTTTATTCACGATCGTGCTCGCGATCTTTCGTCGCGGAACGATCCTCTCTCTGTCGACCTGTTGAAGAGAAAGAAACAAATAAAATAAAAAAGAAAAAAAATAAAATAAAATTTCGATCTTCAACGACTTCTCGTCGGACAATTTTTAAAATCAGAGGTTGATCGTTGGCTGAACCGGTTCAAGAACGGATCGAACAATACCTCGAAATATGTCGAAATGCAGAGAAACGAACGTTATCGATTTTGTAAAGAAATAATCAAAATGAAATATTTTCAGGACGTTTACGTTTTTAATTGGAAATTGATTTTTGACTAATTTTAATTTAAAATTTACGTGTTGCAACTGTCAAATTTATTTTTAACTTTTTATTTTATCATAATTCAAGAAGGAAAATTAAAAATATATACATTTATATTTAATTTTTGATGTTTTATTTTAAAATAAATTAATGTCGGAAATAAGTATTAACGTATGCTCGTAATTATTTGTTGGATTTATTGTAAAAAAAACGAAAAATATTTTATATAGGACTTATAATTTTGAGGGGGATATTTAACAGGATTTCGAATAAAAGAATTATATACGTTGAAAACATTTTGTTTTATACATGTCAAAACGTTTAAATAGAGTTATCAAAACGAAAGGAAAACGACATAAAATATTAAAATCGTACTTTCGTGCAAATTTAATACGCAAAATATTTCTGTTTCATAAAATATCTATGCGAATGATGTGAAAATTTATGAATGTGTAAATAAATCCACGTGAAAAACTTTGTTTCAAATCTATTGCGCGAATAAATACTCGCTACATTGTTGCGAAAAAAAATTATTTATTTATAACAACATACAATGAACATAAAAATTCAATATCATAAGCGGTTCCAGTGATATCATATGCA